CTGTCGTAACACCATGTTTGTTATTGATGTTTCTTGTTTTCCCAGTATCCAAGTTGTAGTGATTTGTCTTCCTCTTAAGCTTTTCAGTATTATAAATCTTGTTCATTTCTGAAAATAGGCAATTTATGACATCTGTCTTTAAAAATGTTGAGGTAGTTTGATTTATAGTCGATGTACTTACCTGTATCTGTGGGTTTCTTGTAAACTCCCGGGTAAAGGGGTTATATGTCTTGATAACCATCGCATCAAGGAATGAGAGTTTGTTATCTTTTTGTATTGCCATTGTACACTTTTATGTGGGATGTTTTCTGTTCAGAATTTTCATGAGTTCTTGAACCTTATGTATAGTATGTGGCCATATTACAAATGCATCATCAACATATCTGAGCTAGATCTTTTGAGCATATAGTGGCTGCTTTGAGGGAGTTAACTTCGAATGTAGTGGTAGGTTACTGAGTATTGGTGATATGGCTAGGCCTTCTTCTTGTTAGTAGCATTTATGTTATATGTAAGTTTGCTAATAAAAAAGATTGTGAGTTCTGTTATCATAGATATTGTTAGTTGGGTGCATTTCTTAAAAGTTCTATCATTTTAAAACTGTTGGTGACGTATTTGCAGCGTGTTAGAGGCTGTTACATTAATGAAGAGGTTGGATATGTTGAAACTGAAAATAGAGGCTAATAACCATATCAACAATTGATATCTAATTGCCACAAACTTACCATACATACTCAATCAGTGACAGATTTACCGATGAATGGAATACATTTATGAAAGAAGCTTTGGAAGAAACAATTTAAGGACCCAGAAATAGAAATATGATACATATGTAGTATTAAAACAAATTACATGTTTCCTACCTTTTTATTTGATAAAGAAAATCCCAAATGGCTTCACATATTGAGCATGTAGTCTTAAAATAGAATGCTGGTCAAGGAAGCTACTAAATTCTTTTCACCCTATTTACTCATGAAACTAAGTCATTTAGTCAGTTAACCAGGGTGTCATTTGAACTTTCTTGTAGGAGAGCTTACTGTAATGTGGAACATACTGTTGCGTCAGCGAGGTCACGTGACTAGTGTCACGCCACGTTTCTAGAAATATCCTGTTCCTTCGTGAATGTCCTAGCATTTACTAGATTGGGGGTAGTCTGGTATATATAAGATGGTCACAATGTGACGGGGGAACAGTGTGATGAGTAATTGAATGTATACGGACAAAATATTGTTGGACACGTGAGATATAGCGTTTATTATAGCGCGACTGTTGAAAATAAGTGTATCGTTAAGTTGTATTCGGAAAGAATAAACCAGTTTTATTAAGTAAGGACTTGTGTCGCTAAAGTTTCGTCGGAACGAAGTTACGGAAAATTAATTAACGACTGGAGGCGTAACAATACTGTATAATAAGTAGACAGTGAACTTTTCCACCAGCAAGTGAAGTCATATCCCAAATAGTGAGAGTGACTATTAGTTACATGAGTAGCACCTGAGCCATGAGTGGAATGAAATTGTTGGTTTTAATATATAATACCTTGTTATCTAAGCCTGGGACAGATTCAAACACAGAAGGATATGAGAATTTCATCACTAATTTTAATTTGCTTTAAAACACATTGAGAGCTCTACATTCAAGTCACCACACAGTACACTTGTTTTGAAATTTGACTGTATTTGTTTAAAGTAAAGATCGTTTCACTGTATTATACATTGTATTCAGTCTCTTTCTTTGCTTTAAATTCAGTCATTGTCAGACAGGTCTGATTTTCACCCCACAATCATTTGCTGGCAAACCTTCTGTTATTTTGCAGTTCCTACCCAATCACATACAGAGAAATAAGTGAACCTGA